TATAAGCACAAGAAGGACCATTTATAAGTTTAACCAGCCATGTTTTCTTTCCACCGCACATATTTGGACCAAACGCAACACAGTTAAGATGGACCTTTAACGAAGAATCATTTAAGGTATTCTATAAACACAAAGACCATTTATCAGTTTAACCAACCATGTTTCCTTTCCACCGCACATATTTGGACCAAGCCCAACACAGTTAAGATGGACCTTTAACGAAGCATCATTTAACATATTCTATGAACACAAGAAGGACCATTTATCAGTTTAACCAACAATGTTTTCTTTCCACCGCAGATATTTGGACCAAACGCAACACAGTTAAAATGGACCTTCAACGAAGAATCATTTAAGGTATTCTATAAGCACAAGAAGGACCATTTATCAGTTTAACCAACCATGTTTCTTTCCACCGAACATATTTGGACCAAACGCAACACAGTTAAGATGGATCTTCAACGAAGAATCATTTAAGGTATTCTATAAGCACAAGAAGGACCATTTATCAGATTAACCAACCATGTTTTCTTTCCACCGCACATATTTGGACCAAACGCAACACAGTTAAAATGGACCTTCAACGAAGAATCATTTAAGGTATTCTATAAGCACAAGAAGGACCATTTATCAAATTAACCAACCATGTTTTCTTTCCATTGCACATATTTGGACCAAACGCAACACAGTTAAGATGGACCTTTCACGAAGAATCATTTAAGTTATTCTATGAACACAAGAAGGACCATTTATCAGTTTAGCCAACCATGTTTTCTTTCCACCGCACATATTTGGACCAAACGCAACACAGTTAAGATGGACCTTTAACGAATAAATCATTCAAGGTATTCTATAAGCACAAGAAGGACCATTTATCAGTTTAACCAACCATGTTTTCTTTCCACCGCACATATTTGGACCAAACGCAACACAGTTAAGATGGACCTTTAACGAAGAATCATTTAAGATATTCTATAAACAGAAGAAGGACCATTTATCAGTTTAACCAGCCATGTTTCTTTCCATCGCACATATTTGGACCAAACGCAATACATTTAAAATGGAACTTAAAGGAAGAATCTTTAAAAGGTTTTAAATAAAGATAGGAAAGGACCATTCATCAGTTTAACCAACCATGTTTTCTTTTTGCCGTCAGTAGTTCGACCATACATAACTCATTAAAGATGGAGTTTTAACAAAGAATTATTCCAGGCTTTTTAAAAATACAAGAA